CATGATCGCCTAAGCGTGTATCGCGTATGTCACATAACTGACTGAATTAACCAATCTAAACTAAATGTTTATTATGTTATTGACAAGACTAATAATGGCTATATCAACCATATTGAATAGCACTGCTTAGACCACTGAAGTAGTTGTTGGCGATAGGTACTTAGCCGTCCATTTTGTTTTTGTTTTTTTTGTTTTGTTTTGTTTTGCGTTGTTTTTTGTTGTTGTTTTTTGTTTTTTGTTTTTTTTTGTCGAACATTTTAGTTTGCCAGTGTTTTGGGGAATCTGGACTGGACACAGGACTAAACTTTTCCACTGCTGTACTCTTTGGAAGCCAAGAGGGCTATTTCGAAGGGCAGAATTTAAATAATCCAAGAAGGGTTGATGTCATCCACTCAACCAACCTGACCTAGCAGCGTTAACTATACGTGTGGGTCAGTAGCTTTTGTTTTCTTTTGTTATGTTTTTTTTTCGTTGACAAATTTAAAATCCTATTTAATATATATGTATATATTCAAACATAAAAGGATCTCGTCGACTCCAGTTTCTTAGAGGAAAGGAAAGACAACTTTGAATATATTAAACTGCGTCATAATTAATTTATATAAATCCTGTAATTTCCGGGCGGGTAGATTTTTCTCGTTCCGCTGTCCAAGTTTAGGGATATTGTTTTTTTATATATGTTAATGTCTACTCAACACCAGGCCCTAGAGCCACTCGATATCGAGGTTTACAGAGTAAGAGGCTCACCACCCAAACCAAGGAGATTATACCACTAAGTTGCAAGGTGCCACCAGAAGTGAAAGAGAAGGAAAATACTGTAAACAGAAAACAAGGGATAAACCTCTACTCCCGTTCAAAATATTTCGGAGGATTTTTCTTTAGTTTAAAATGTATATATTTGTTCTTTATTGCAAATCTTTCTTAAAACAAAAAAATTAAATGAAAAAAAAAATCTATTAAAATATTAAAAAATAAAGCGTTTATAAAAGAAATCATTTTGTAAAAATATCTTTTGTCATACGCAGATACTAATGATATAAGCAGTTTCAGGCATGGCGTTTGTAAGGGGTCTGCCTTAGTTTCGATAACTTTCTAAAAGTTAGGAATCGATTTAACCCTGTATCGATGTTATGAACATGACCCTCTTCTAAATCGATAATAAATCAATATTTTTCGATTCTAACAAGTGTCGCAATCTAACGGAAGTCTAAAGAATGCTCATCTATAAAAATTATTTCAAGCAAAACGTTTGTCGTATTTTTTTACGAGCCGGCCATTCTATTTAACTATTGCCAAAATTTAGTTTTAGTAAAACCCAGTATTAACTATAGGTTTTTACTTATAGTCTATTAATGTCCAAAATCCCAAAAATGAATCAGCGATCATTAATTAGCGTCTTCTGTGGATACGCAGCTCTCTTGAATATCTATGCAGCCGAGTTCGAATTCTAGTCGAATCCATTACATTCACTTATGTGCTAATATCCTTGCGAAAGGTAAGGATCCTCTTCTTCTCTCGAGCTATGAGTAAATAGCAGGACAGACCGAGTTCTGTAGCCTTAAATGGCAACTGGTCTACCGCAGAAAGAAATGGTAACCTACTGCTGGAAGAAAAAAAATCTGCCTCGCCAGTCATGTATCGAAAGGATGGCACATAACTGACTGAGAAAAGTAGTAAGCCAAATAAAGATAGGAAGATAACATTGCGCCAGCCTTGCAAGTAGACAGTCTTGACTTAATCCTAAAGGTTATAGCGACGGATTAAGGGGTCAGGTCAGTAGTCGGCTTGTAAAATCCTGGTTTGGACTGGACTGAATTTAACTCATCATAAATAAATCAGTCGAATTCATTACATTCACTTACGTGCTACTAACTTTGGGAAAGGTATGAATCCTCTTCTTCTAAAGCTATGAGTAAAGAGCAGGACAGACCGGGTTCTGTAGCCTTGGAGGGCAAACGGTCTACTGCAGAAAGAAATGGCAACCTACTGCGCGAAAAAATCTGCCTAGTCAGTCATGTATCGAAAGATACATGATCGTCTATGCGAGTATCACTCATGGCACATAACTGACTGACTGATATGAGTGCACCTCCAAAATTCTAGGCGACCAGAGCCTAGCAGCCGACCTCTACCCCTTGACCGAACTCTAACAACTCAATGAGACAAAAAAGTGGCCACAAAACCAAACTTGTAACATTTCATCGAGCAGATCCTGAATTTCTGTCTGTAGCAAGGTCCGAGGGCCACTCGAGGTAGAGGCTTACGTTAGGAGGCAGTTTGTACGGATAGGAGGGGAAGGTAACATTTAACTCTAGACTTGAGCAGATTCAGATTGTAATGATCGGGAAAACATACTTTTGGGAGTCGGTTCCACAGAGCAGTGGTTCACGGGAATAAGCTGTTCGAGTGGAACTTACTTCTTGTCGATGGAATACGGAGAGAATATAGGTGGTTTGCTTCTATGTAAGTGGCATAGCGGATCCTTGAAGTGATGGTTAGGAGAAATAACAAAAAGACAAATTTTATTAAGAGTTACGAAGGACAGGAAATTGTGGAGAGCCATGATCGCCTACGTCCTGAGGGGACACGGCACATAAAATAGAAGATGTAGCCCTGGCGAAACACACACTATGGAGCTAACGAAAGAATCACGGAGTTTACGATGACTCGTTGATTCCAACTGCGGACGCTTAATCAATCAATGTCTTCAAAGAAAAGAAAGTATTTTTTATTTTTTTATAGTAAGGTTCAAATTGTTCAAACTGCTCGGGGGGCACTCAAGTTAGAGGGTTACGTTATATGGATAGCAGTGGAAGATAACGGTTAACTCTAAACTTGAACAGTTTAAGATTGTAGTGATTGGGAAAAAATCTTCTTGGGAGTCGGTTCCACAAAGCAATGGTTAGCGGAAAGAATGTGTTTGAGTTGAATTTACATCTCTCCGATGGAATACGGGGGAATGTGGGTGGTTTGATACTATGTAAGTGGCCTGGCGGGTCCTGGCTATGAAGGTTAGGCCTGGCGGAAGAAAGGTATGTAGTTCGTCCGAGCACTTTCCATGGAAGAAGCGATAGAGCAATGAGTGGTCCGCCACTTCCCGCTTGCGGGACAGAGTTTCGCAGGGTGGAAAATAATTCGCCACCCACGACGGCTCGGAGACGCATTTGGACATTATCGTGTCTGGGAAGTGTGGTCTGGGCAATGAATTGGGACTTAAGCTCATCCCATACATGAAGTGGAACTCGTATATACGATCTGTCGTTAAAGATGCTGGAAAAATGGGCGGTTCCCTGTACCGCTCCAGTAAGTACCCGACTCCTCGGGCTATGCTCTACCTTTACAACAGCCAGATCAGACCGAAAATGGAAAACTGCTGTCCAATCTTTTTAGCCCCAAATCATCTACGCGGCCTTGTAGGTGATGAATTGCTTTCCACCTTACAACCCCTTTCCTACAGACGAAGCATTTCAAGCCTCCCTCTACTCTATCGCTATATCCATGGAAAATGTTCAGACGAGCTACATTCCTTAGTTCCCCCAATTCTAACCTTCCCAGCTGTGACCTTACGCCGCGTACATTCAGGCGAACCGCATTCATTCCACTCTGATAGCATCTCTCTAAGAACTTGTGGTTTTGTGGAACGGAATCCCAGGAGGATGCTTTCCCAAGTACAACCATCTTAGTCTGTCTATATTTCTGAGATGAGGTATTATGTACATTATTCGGACTATTGTCCTCATCTTTGTCGCCATATTTATCACAACGTTTCCTCAAGGACACATGGTACAGTGGATAAAGGCGTTGGTTACAGTTGGTGACAGGACCCAAAGAGTGTGAGTTCAATACCCGGTTAAGGCAGTGGAGAACTTTCAGAGGGAAAATTAACAGATATATTTGCCGAAATTACACAAAAATATCTTGAAATATTAAAGATTAAATTTATTTCTATAAAATCGCCATTGGCTTCAACCACGGCCTCCAGACGACTTCGGAATCTCCTGCAACTCTTCTGGATGGTCTCCTTGTTTAAGTTGGTGAATGCCGCCATAATCGTTGCCTTCAGTTCACCTTTGGTGTTACAGGAAGTTTTGTTGGTCTCTTTCTCAACTGTGCCCCACACATAATAACCAAGGGAGTGCAGGCTGGGGATAAATGTGGCCAGATGTAAGAGGTAATTTGGTCACAGAAATTGTTTGACAGCCATGACTGGGTTTTCCTGCTTTTATGACATGATGCAGAGTGCTGTTGCTAGACGTAGAGTCTTCCAGCATCACTACTTCCTCAATGCACTTGATGTAGGCCTCTGTGTTCAGTCTGGGGACCTCACCAACAAACTCGGGACTTCTTTTCTTATCAGAATGATCAGATTGAGTTTTCCGAGCTGCCGTGCCTTCGTAATCACCATTAGACTCATCCAAATCTTTCCGAATCCTCTGCACTGTCCTCAGATAGACATCTAAACACTCTGAAATGTTCGTATTGAAACTTCCGGCGCAAATGCCAAGCAGTGCAGCATGCTGTTTCCAAATTTCTGGCGGAGTGAATTGTGTCATGGTGCTCTTTTACTCACAGACGCTGCCCAACTGACCCTACTACGCTGTGTAGTCGACAAAAGCAAAAATAAAGAGCGCGCATGCGCGAAATTAAAAAATATTAAATGGCGACAATTTACTTATCGCACCCTGTTGGTCGACACCTTCTTTTGGCATTAAAATTTATTCTTTTAAAAAAAAATCGACTTATCCACAAGTATCTGCGATGTTTCTGCTATTGTTCTTCCTTTTCTTTATTCTCGATCTTTCTCTAATCTCACACTTTCTTTTTTTACCTACATTTTGGCTGCTTCTTTTATCTCTTTCTTCATTTCTTTTGTTTTTCTTTTGTTTTTCTTCTCGCTTTCTTTTTACTTATTCCTCTCTATCTTTATCCTTGTATCTCGTTAAATCTTTTCCCGTCTTTTTTCTTTCTTTCTCTTTCCGTCTCATTCGCGCAGTTTTCACATGTTTAATCTCATCCCTCTCTCTCTCTCTCTCTCTCTCTCTCTCTCTGTCTCTCTCTCTCTCTCTCTATCGCTCTCTCTCTCTCATAAATTTATTCTTTTCTTATTTTCTCTCTCTTTCTCTCTCTCAGTTGTGTAATCTCTTCTTGGGTTGGTGCATAATTATCAGGCGTTTTTGTGAGTGAGTTATTTGTTAATAAAAATTGCTGTTTTGTTTACTTTTTTAATAAAAATATTATTTTATTTTCAGGTTATAAAAATGCGTGTCGATAATCATACATTCCGGAATAATCATTAAAAAATGTTATTGTTGAATTGTTATGTTTCTTTTTTCATAATAAATATTCTTTTAAAACGCCTGATAATTATACACCAATCCAATATAATCTTATACTTCTTCCTCTCTTAAGCTCTCTCCCATAACTCATTTTACTCTACTTTCTCTCTCTCTCTCTCTCCCTTTCTTTCTTCCTGTCTAATTTTATCTTACACGCTTTCTCTCTCTTTCTCTCACACTTTCTTTCTCACTTTCTCTCTCTCCCTCCAATTCTCTCTCTCTCTCTGTTTCACTTTTTCTCTGATATGACTTCATTCTTTTCTTGCCTTTTCTCTTTGCTCTTTCGCTTAATCTAATCCACTTTAAGCCCTGTATCTTTCTCTTTTTCTTCTTTCTTAATCTCTAATTATCTCTCTCTCTCTCCTCCTGTTTTCTTTCTTTCTCCCCTTCACTGTCTCTCTAACACACCCTTTGTTGTTTTCTCTCTGTATCGCCTTATCTATTTTTTCCAAACTTTTCTCTTACTCTCTCCTTCTTCTAATCTAGTCTTCACCATTCTCTCTCTCTCTCTATCTCCCTCTCTTGTCAAATCACATCCTTTTTATCTCTTTCTCTCTCTCCTAATACCACCCTTTCCTTACTTCATACTCTCCCTCTAATATCTATCTATCTATCCTAATTTAACCCATCTTCTGCTTTCTCTCTTTCTCAATCTATCTATCTATCTAGCTAGCTATCTAGCTATCGTAATTTAACCTATCTCCCTCTAATATCTATCTATCTATCTATTTATCTATCTATCTATCTATCTATCTATCCTAATTTAATCCATCTTCTTTCTCTCTTTCTCAATCTCTCTCTCTCACCTTATACTTCATACTCTTGTCCTCCTATCATCATCTCTCTCTACCACCTTATTTCATCTTTTTCCGTCTTTCTTCTCTTCCTCTCTCTCTCTCTCTCTATCTCTCTTTCTCTCTCTCCTAATACCACCCTTTTCCTTCATACTATCTTCCTCTAATATCTATCTACCCTAATTTAACCCATCTACCTCTAATATCTATCTATCTATCCTAATTTAACCCATCTTCTGCTTTCTCTCTTTCTCATTCTATCTATCTATCTATCTATCTATCTATCTTTCATTCTATCCTAATTCTAAATCTTCTCTCACCTTATTCTTCATACTCTTGTCCTCCTTTATCATCATCTCTTGTCCCTCCTATCGTCATTTCATTTTTTCCGTCTTTTATTTCATTTTTTTTTCCTCTCTTCTCTTCTCTCTCTCTCTTTCTTTTTCACTTTCTCTTTAATCTAATTTTGTCCCTCCATCTCCCGCTCTTTCTCACTTTCTATCTCGTGTAATCACGTCATTTCTTTAACCCCCACCTCTCTCTCTCTCTCTCTCTCTCTCCCACCCCCTCTCTGCTTATCGAGTATTATGTCGCTCCCCAAGAGCTCTTGTCTTTCTCTTTGATTTCTTCCTAATAGGAAGCGCCTATACCGCTGGTTAATTACAGATCTGTTCTTTCATAATGAAACCCCTTTGGAGTAACTGTCGTCCCAACCCCATTCACTGCCAACCGTTATGAGAGGCCAACAAGCTTTCAGGGCGGACGTACAACGAGAGACGAGGGTGGAGAAACCACGAGTATCGATTGCCTAACCTTTAGCCCTTCCCACGCCCCTGCCGTCTCTTTAAGCGGAAGTTGAAAATCAACGACGGAACACGCAGTGTGCTCAAGAAAAATAAGTTGTGCGCTCATTAGTTCAGTTTCCTTCCCCATCCTTGTACACCGACCGGAGCCACTTTGACTCTGTTTCATTATTTTCGCCTACCACCAACATCTTTGGGGGTTTTGTTTTATTTTTCCACGCCTACTCCTACTCCTCTCCCACTTGTCGAATCTCCTATCAATAAATTTTCTGGTATTCTCTCTCTGTCTCTTTATATATATATATATATATATATATATATATATATATAAAAAAAAGGTTAATACATAATGTGTGTGTGTCTCTCTCTTTCGCTTTCTCTCTCTCTCTCTCTCTCTCTCCTCCCTTGTTTCAACTCATTTGGTTTTAGTTTTGTTCTTTGCTTAATTGATTTCACTCACTGTACGCTTCTGACCCTGTCGTTCTTTCTGTCTCTCTCTCTATCTATCTATCTATCTATCTATCTATATATATATATATATATATATATATATATATATATATATATATATATATATATATATACTCAAAAAATCAGAAGGCCAGTTGAATTCGTTGCCTTGCTTTCAAACTAACGGTATCGTCAGTCGATTTCTATCAAATGACCACCTAACGCATTTTTTTAACTAAAGAAAGCTAAATTATTATTCTCAGAAACAAATAAACAAACGCACGACATTGTGTGTAACAGAAAGAAAGAAGAAGAAGAAGAAATGTAATAAAAATATAGTTTTAAGGTATGCTATATTCATTGGTAAAAGTGCTCAATATCAGAGATAGAGCGTAAATATAAAAGCGGACACGAAGATCAACACCAAGTGGCCACAGTCTGTTTCATTTTTGAACGCTATCTTCAGGCCATATATATATATATATATATCAGGCCATATATATATATATATATATATATATATATATATATATATATGAGGAATTAATGGATTTTATTTTAAATCCGAGATTATTTAATTTAAACGTTATATTTTAGTAGACACACGCGTTTGAAAAGCTTCTTTTTGGAAGGGGTGAAGAAGTTCATTGAAAGGTGCCAAGAGTGCATTGCCCTACTATGTTGAGAATTGGCACATGCATTTGTTCTTCATCGGTGAAAATAAAGGTGTTGCGTGGAAATTGACTTTACTTTTTGATTTACCATCATATATAAATAAACTGCTAAAGGCGATAACTCTCGTATGAGAAAAAAATTATAGACATTAGAGAAAAGATATTTGACATATTATATAATAGTAGATATGCTATCATATATCTCTATCTATAAAAGGCAGGATGTGTGTGTGTCTGTGTAATGAATGCACAGCCGCAATTTTCGACGGATTTGCACCAAAATTTATATGCACCTGCTACAAGTTAGCGGCAAGGCCAAGACCAACTTTGCATTTCCCAACTCCCATCGATAGTGGAAATAATCGATTTTTTCATGATTCTACGGCAGTTTTCATTTAGTTTGCGGCCATTTTGAGTGAGAGCCTATAGCTGGGTGCCACGAATAGACAGGAAGATTCTATTGGCCAGCGTGAGAGCCAACAGCTGACTGACACGAATGTTAACTAGCATGCTAGCATGCTAGCATGCAAAAAAAATCGATAGCTACATTCGTCACAAGTGGGAAAAATTTAAATCTGCATGGCACTTTGCTTGCTTAAACTCAACGTTGATTCTGATTCCGCAGAACTGGGTTGGGTGTGAAAAAGTATTTGTTGTTAACATTCTTTTTTCATTGGGTTTTTTCAGTTACGATTCCTTTTTTAAAGCAGATCGTTTCGTGTTCATTTTGTCTAGTTCTTTTTTCGTAACAGATTTAATGTTTAGTATAGAGCTTAGAAAAAGTTCGCAGTGTGAGACAGGCAAGAAGTACAGCATCTAGCAACATCAGCACAGCAAAGGGCACGCCCTTAAAGGCAAGGAAGGGCAAAAATATTTTAAGTCAAGTGATAGCAATGTGTGTATGAGTCGTACGATTTTTGAATCAAGCACGGGCAACGCCGGGCCATGCTGCTAGTGCTATTATAAATGATAGAATATTTTGTTCCGCCGTTGCCCTTCGTGGATGTGTGGGTAGCGTAGTGGTTAGGCAGAAGATCGGCATGTCAAGTTCAAATCCTGGCCGAGTTCATTGCTTTCACTTTCACACAAATACCTTTGGAAAAGGTTTTATTTTAATTTTTTTTTTTTTTTTTTAGTCCACCCCAGTAATGGATATCCAATCTAGTAGGAAGTTAACCCTGAATTTGTAGTAGAATTTTGGGGGGCTAGAATCCGATAGTGCAGCTACTCGTCTCAAGAAATTCTCCGTCATGCCGGCTACATGCCGCACCTGTTTATATCTAGGTCGAGAAGTGAGTGCTTGGTTGAGGTGTGACCAAAAATTTGCATGACGTTCTTATATATAAACAAGAGTCACGTGCACGCTTTCTTTCTTTTCCGACGTAGGATACACGCGACGCGCTATCGCTTGGTTTGACGAGGTAAGTTGCTATTTTCTTCGCTACAGAATTCAAAACAGTTTGGATGTGGAACTTGTAAATCCACCCCGAAAAAGGACTACCTACTAAGGGAACATCACTCGTGGGTGTGGCCAGGCCGTGTCCCTATGCGCTACTTAGAAAGAGAAAGACCAGTTGTTTCTTATTCTTAACCCTTGAACACTAACCATCAATTAAAGTTACACCACTACTAATCATGGTTATATCAAAATAAAAATGAAAAAAAAATATATCAAAATGAAAATATCAAAAAAAATATTAAATATAAATCTTTATTTGAAATATTTTACATGCAGGCACTTCAGTCTTTGTCCTTTGAGTTAACATTAATAGGAACAGAAAAACATATTATCTAGGTAAGAAAATCAGGTACTGAAAATTGTAATTAAAAATGGGAAAATTTGCGCTGGGTTCTATATACCATGGCTAGTGTTCTAGAGTTAAGGTTTTCACTTGTGAATCTTTTAATATATAAAGACGAGGTGTGTCTGAAAAGTAACGGAACGGGTTTCACAAATAGTTTATTAGAGTTCCAAACAACAAATTTTCCCCCTACAAAGTATTCTCTCTCAGGTCTAATGCACTTTTTTTTTTCTCTGGCCCTCTTTTATGCATTGCTGGAAGGATGTCTCTTCACCTTCGTCGTTACGGCTCTCTTGATGGCCTCCGCGCTCTCAAAACGGGTTCTGTTGGTGACTCCCTTGAGCTTGGGAAAAAGAAAACATGTCACACGGAGCAAGATTAGATGAGGTTGTTCCAGTACGGCGATGTTCTTCTCGGTCAAGAACTGCCGGATGCTCAGGGCCTTATGAGCAAGGGAATTGTCGGGGTAACGCAGCCACGATTAATCCTGCCATAATACTCGTCTCTTCTCGCACAGTGAGCGAAGAAAACGCCGTAGGATATCTTTGTAGACTTACTGACTGATCCGTCCAGCAAGATCACACTGTGGACGATGCCTCTCACATCGAAAAAGAAAACCAGTTCCGTTACTTTTCAGAGAGACCTCGAAGGAACATACCTGAAATAAACATTATTTACAAAAATGAAAGTCTATTCAAATACGGGTATCCAATAAAAATAACGTTTGAAGTAATAAAAATATGTCAGATTAAAAAATAAAACGCATTAATTCTTCATATATATATATATATATATATATATATATATAGTTGTATATATATATATATAGTTGTATATATAGGCAGTATATATCTTTCTTTATGCATGTTTCATTAAAAAACAACAGACAAGGTACTACGGTTAAGCTTTTTATTTAATTTTTCTTGTGTTCGAACAAGAGCTTTCTTTTCTAGACAAAGGGTGTGTAAGAACTGTCCAAATGTTTTCTTTCCGAGCGCTTTCGGCTATACCTTTAGCTATTATCAAAGATGATTCGATTTTTCAGCTTACTTGAGTGTGTGTGTTCTGTGTATGTCTTAGTGTGTGGTAGGGATGTTTTTAATTTCCGAATACGGTTAGCCCATTGTGGCTTTGTTCGTAGTTAATATTGTTAAGAGTTGGCTTTTTCTTTTTTATTATTAAAGCTTCCATTATTTTTAGTCTTTTTTTGCAGGTGGATGCAGTTAATATATTTGTGTTTTCTACTAGTATGTTTCTAATGGAGTCTGGTAAATTTGAGTGTGTGTTTAAATGGGTTCTAATGGAACTGTGATCAGATAGGTGTAACGTAAGACGTCTGGATAAAGCATGTGGTTGTGTAACCGATGTAATTATTTATGAGTCCGGTTATATATATATATATATATATATATATATATATATATTTATATATATATAT